TTCTTATTCGATGTTTAAAGGCCATCGAGGTTAGTAAAAAGCGGTAGAACATAAACACTATCTTTTACGTATCCCCACAAGAAAAAAATCACACTCTGTGAGGTATGGGGATCTCGCAGGCCAAGCACAAAGAGCAAGGTCTTGGTAAGTGCCTGAACGAGGCGTAGTCTGTAAGGTTTCAAATGTAGACGACTTCTTAGCACACGACATATAGTGGATTGAGAGATCGCGTGCCCACGGCTGGCTCGATTTGTGGACTTCCGTGGACTCTCCTCAAACGCAGCACGGATTCTCGCCACTCGTTTCTCTGAAACTCGTTGTCGTCCTGGTTTTTTTTCTTTACAGACACCCACTTTCGTGAATCTGTTTAAACCACTGTTGAATGTTTTTAAGAAAAGGGTGGATTAATGTCGAATTGCCTTCGAAAACCACGCTGCACCATGAAAACCGTATTTGTTTTCGCGAACTCGAGAACGCAGAACGCCTTTTGCTGAGGACTCGCCATTCCAGGGGTAAACAAACAACTGAACGTTGCTGGAGATAAGACGCGACTACAGCGCCCCTGTGGCAGCCATTGAAAACTTAGAAAGGTTCTTTCAAAGAGTCACTGACTAATCCTATAACGATGCTTGAGAACTGAAGCAATGCGTCATGAAATGGGTTCATTTCTTTATATAACCCTGTATAGTGTTAAAGGAAGCATCCAGGCAGTAGTCTCTTTTGAGGAAGAAGTATTTGGAACTTTCATTCTCTTTCAATTCCGATGGCCCTTTTCCTCTTGATGGCATTATCCTCTTGCTTGGAGTGATGCTTCTTATTCTGTAACCCTCTACCCAGAGTGGCTCTTGGGCCTTGTACAGAGTAAATATCATTGTAAAAAAAATAACTTAAAATAATTTAAAATGAAAGAAAAAGAATATCTGAGCTGGGTACCCAGGTGCCTTGACAAGGCGTAAATGCCAACAATAATTTTAAACGGTTTAAAATGGTACCTACGATCTTTCTGATAAGCCTCGCATCCACCATTTTCAATAGCAATATTCTGAATGTATTTATTAAAGCAGGTTCGTATGGAAGTAGCAGTGGGTTGGGATTTGGTGGTGAATTTCACTAGAAATCAACAATCAGCAAACCCTGATATTTCTCCAGTCAGGATAAACGGATGTACTCGTAATGAGGCTTCCAGCCTTGAACGTCAGTTGGGACTGAAGTTTACCCAAGACCTCAAGTAGAACTGATATATACGGCCCACAGCTGGAAATTCCTCCATGAACTGATCTCCTCCTGCCATGATCAAAACTGGAGTATTGCGGTCATCTCTGGCTGAAATTATCAAATTCTCACATTCCAGGCTTGAGTTCAAAAGCATTCATGTGGACTTGTGGGTGGTGAATTATTTCCCACTCTACAACCCCTTTCTTCCAGACGCAAAGTCGTAAGGCTATTGATATTTCCATGGAAAATGTTCAGATGGGTTATATTCATTAGTTTTACCAGTTCAGACCTTCACAGATAAGAATCACCACGTCAGGAACACTGGGGCAAATCATCTTCATTCCCTTCGTATTCTATTGGTAAGAAGGAAATTCCTCTCATGCACTTTCTTTCCCAGAACTGGTACTTTGTATTACAGACTCCCGAGAGGATAGTTCCCCGATCGCTGCAATCTTAACCGATCTTCTATTCTAGTGCCAGCCGTCATCTACCCTACGTATCCCCATAATATGCACTTTAAGACATTACAAAACCTCATTCAGTAACCTTCTACTTTGATTGGTTTGGTTTGGTTTAGGGCATATAAACACCTCAATGGGTTATTTAATGACAAGTTTTTTTTTAATATTTCTGGTAATATTTTTCTTTTTCAAAAATGTATTGCTGATAATAATTTATTTTTCAAAAATATATTACTGGTAATAATGTATTGCTGGTAATTTTTTTTTCAAAAATGTATTGTTGATAATAAGTTTTTAGCAAAAATGTATTGCTGGTATAAAAACCTTTTTTAACACCTTCACAATGCTCTGACCCCAGTTTGGGGGTTAACTATCTTCCCATAGCTGGGACCCTAACAGGTGCTAACACCCCATGTCAAGGCGGACCTGGGAACACCAGTAATTAAGAGGTGGTTCTCCGCTCCTCAAAACCTCCTGATAAGAGGCCTTGCTGCCGGATGTACTTTGTCATCATACCCAGGATGCGGATTTAGTTTATCTTCATATCTAGGATGCCTTTTTAATCTGAATGGCTCTTTGGCCTTATGAGCAATAATATAAAAAGTACCCCATTTGTGTGTTAGAAAAAGTGCAGTGGTTATCAGCTTGTCTCAGACTAATACCAACACCGTAAACAGAGTTGTGTTTGTTAAATGCCATGCCTTTCAAAAGCTAAGCAGAGTATTAAGAAATCGAAAAACTTCGCAAGAAACAAGAAATAAGTACGAAACTGTCACGTGATATCCGTCCTCTAGTATGGCAGTGAATGCTGGACAATCTCCTCAAAGACGAAGAAGATACTTGAAGCAACAGGGATGTGGCTCTACAAAAGGATGCTGAGTCTACCATGGACCGAACATGTGAGCAACAACGAATTTTAAGAGAAAATGGAATCGAAAAGGAATCTTATACTTAACCTCAGGAAGAGACAGTTGAAATTTCTAATACACATAAAAAATGGAAAGATGGCTTGGAAAATCTGATACTCACAGGACAGACTGAAGGCAAGAATGACAGAGGAAAACAATGCATAAACCAAGTTTGAGTAAATGGATGATAGAACCTGGTTTAGAAGAAAGACAAAATGTATTAAGTGCTACACGGAACAGGAAGTTGTGGAGAGTCGTAATCGCCCTGAAGCGAACACGGCACATAAAAAAAAAGAAGCGTAGTTTCATCAATGGGAAGTTCGAACTATTACTCACATCATTTTTCATTATTATTAACGTTTCGACCATTGAGCCCTCCGGTCTTCTTCAGGTGTTCCTCAGTCCTGGTAACTTACAGGGAATTTCAGATTGAAGCCTTTATTTAATCTACGAGGATAGAATATTCTCGTTCCGAAGTCCATGAATAGGGATATCTCTTCTTGTTCCGTTTAGCACGGTTCAATTATTGCTCACCCTGTACTAAATAACAAAACGACATTTCCTTAGACATGGACGACAGAACGAGAATAATCTACCCCAGTAAAATGAATAGAGGGTTCACTTTGAAATTCCCAGAAAGTTACCCACACAAACAGACAGTTAAAGAAGGTCGGACAGCACAACAACGAAAGCGATATTTGTCTGAATGTAAATAATGTAAATGAAAATAACTACACAAATAGGAATAATAAAAGATGCCTTTCAAAAATTCAGCAGAGTATTAAGAGACGTAAAATATTCTTACATACAAAGTAATGAGTGTTGAACTGCTATACAATATTTAACCTTCTACATGAAGTGAATACGGAACAATTTCCTCACACACGAAGAAGACATATAAAGCGGAAGAAATGTCTTTCTACCGATGAATGTCATTAGAAATATAGAAAAGAGTGCCGAATAGACATGTAAAATCTAATCTTTTATATTGCAATGATTACTGAACAATTTCCTCACAGCTGAAGAAGAGACTTGAAGCAAAAGATATATGATTCTACCAATGACTGTCATTAGAAACAAAGAAAAGAGTGCCGAACAGACACGTAAAATCTAATCCTTTATATTGCAGTGAATACTGGACAATCTCCGCACAGATGTAGATGAGACTTGGAGCGGCAGAGATGTGGTTTTACCGAAGAACGCTGAGAATGTCATGGACAGATCATGTGAAAGTTTTAAGGAAGCTACAAGCAAACTGATATTTACAATAGGAAAGTAACAACTGAAACATCTGGGATTTATGATGAGGAAAGAGTGCCTGGAGAATTTAACACTGAGAGGACATGCTGGATGGAAAGCATGAGAACCAATGAGAAATCTTTTAAATGTATTTGAGTGAATGGATGGAGGGAAAAAATTGGAAAGGCTGGATGGTAAAGAGGAAAATGTTGCTTAAAACAACAACAGAAGGGAATTTGTGGAGAGGCCTGGTTTCCCACATCTTGAAAGGGCTTGGCACATAAAGGAGGGGAATAGTTTATGTCAGATTGATCGAAGCAATTGGATAACATCTGTATTAACATTCGCGACACCTATTAGGAAGATGTGATTAAATATATTTTAATGTTTAAAAAAGAGATTCTGGTTCAGTAGGAAAAGTAAACATGGCTGATATGAGTTATCTCCCTTTGCATGTATAGCTCAATAGGAATGATCAACTCTCTTGGAATGATAGATCGTGACACCTATTAGGAAGATATGATTAAATATATTTTAATGTTTAAAAATATATTCAGTATTATTATTGTTTAGGTAATAAGGCTTATAACGTAGTACAAATAGCTATATTGTGGAAAAAAAGCAATTTTAGAAAATATACGCATTTTTCACGTATATATGGTTATTTTTTTAACTTTTATCAAAAACGACGTTCTTGTACATGTAGTTATGGATAATATTATAAATTAATTACTAATTTTTTTAATTAATAACTATTTGTGCTCAGTTATTGTCATTAATAGCTATCTGCTGTTGTGTCTAAATTTTGGAATAAGCAATAATAAAAATTTAAATTCCATCACTCTGATAGATTTGTAAATATCGATAGACAGAATCCGACATTGCCGACGCTCTTTGGCCGTGAACCTTTTCAGAAATCATTTTAGGAAGGACTCTTCTTTGAAAAGTCGTGAAGATTGGAAGAATGCAGGCATCGAACGAATGTTTGACATTTTCCATTACGACTCAAGAATAACATCTCATAACAATGGCGAATCATTTTCTCTTTCTCGTCTTGTCTCTCCTCTTTCTCTTGCGTTCTCGCTTTTTCTGTAGGTGTTTTCATGTCATTGTATGTACATCCAGTTAGAAATCAAAAAAGGCACGCAGCTTTCTCCTTCAAACTATTCAATTTTCTATGGCTGTTGATCTATCTATCTATCTATCTATCTATCTATCTATCTATCTATCTATCTATCTCAGTTCTTTTCATATCTGTCTCATTCTGTTTATATATATCTAATTTTTTTCATATCTGAGTCTGTTCATATCTATCTTATTCTTTTCTATCTTAGGTCTTTTCATATCTATCTCATTCTGTGAATATCTATCTATCTATCTATCTATTCAGTTCGTTTCATATCTATATCATTCTTTTCATATCTATCTCAGGTCTTTTCATTTCTATCTCATTCTTTTCATATCTATCTCAGTTCTTTTCATATCTATCTCATTCTGTTAATTTCTATCTATCTATCTATCTATCTATTTTTATATATATATATATATATATATATATATATATATATATATATATATATATATATAAACTCTTTTATATCTGAGTCTGTTCATGTCTATCTATCTATCTCGTTTTTTTTCATATCTATCTCATTCTGTTAATATCTATCTAAATTCTTTTTCCTATCTGAGTCTCTTCATATCTATCTATCTATCTATCTATTCAGTTCGTTTTCATATCTATCTCATTCTTTTCATACCTATCTCAGTTCTTTTCATATCTATCTCATTCTGTTAATTTCTATCTATCTATCTATCTATCTATCTATCTATCTATATATATATATATATATATATATATATATAAACTCTTTTATATCTGAGTCTGTTCATGTCTATCTATCTCAGTTTTTTCATATCTATCTCATTCTGTTAATATCTATCTAAATTCTTTTCCTATCCGAGTCTCTTCATATCTATCTATCTATCTATCTATCTATATATATATATATATATATATATATATATATATATATATATATATATATATGTGTGTGTGTGTGTGTTCATTCTTCTTCCAACCATAATCTACTGTCTGTTTAGCTATCTATCTTTATATTTCTACCGATGCCTGCTCCAGTCCATTTATGTATTTAGCCCTTCATATCTACAGATCTCTGTCCTTGCCTGTTTATCTATCTATCCTTTTATATATACCGATGTCTGCTCTTGTCTTTTTATTTATCTAAACCTGTGATGGGCAAACTGCGTCCCACGGGACACATGCGGACCGTTTGGTCTTTCTGTATGGCACAATTTCGTAAGGAAAATAATGTTTCTTAAAATGTTATTATGTTACATTCTCACTTGTTTACTCACACATAACCACATATATAAACAATACATATGCACATATATAAACAATACATTTTCGTGGATATTTTTTTTTTTTAATTTCGTGGAAAGTAACGTTGTCAGCGTTTTAAACCATTGGCGATTTTCACTAAGGAAGATCATTCTTGAAAACATCTCTTGCTTTAAATAAATAATTTAAATAAACATAAGGTATAAACATAAATTAAAATAATATTTGTTTCAGAGAAAGAAATACATTCAACTTATTTTCTGAATTAATGTGGCGAGAGAAAATAAAAAAATACTACGGAAATTGCAAAATTTATATTTACAATTATTCGTCGTTATTTGGTTATTTAAATTTTCTTGGTGAAAGACATTTTAAAAAATTATGAATGAAACAAATCTTTCCATATTTGTGTTTTTATAAAATGATAAATAATAAACATTTCGTTATAATTGGTTTATATGCATTTATAATCATGTGTATTTAGGCAGCAATCATTCATTTATACATGTTTCATTAAAGACAACAGACAAGTTACTGCGATTAAACTTTTTATTTAATTTTTCTTGTATTCGAACAAGTGTTTTCTTTTCTGGACACAGAGTGTGTAGAAACTGCCCAAATGTTCTATAATTCCGAGCACTTTCGGCTATACGTTTAGCCATTATCAAGAATGATTTTATTTTTGCTTTTTAACTGGATGTATGGGTTGTGTGTATGTTTCTAGAGTTATAGGGATTTTTTTATTTATAAATATCTATGCAATTTTTGACTGTGTTCACTATCATTGTTATTTAGTTTGGGAAGAAATAATCTAATTTGCTGGTCTGTAAGGTGGTTAGGGAAGCCATTGTTAACTAATGTCTGTTTTGCATAAAATTATCCTTAAAAATAATCAATATCATGAATAAATAGTGTTTAACATCTTTGTTGTCATTTCTCGTGAATAAAGAAAATGTATAAATCCACTTTCATATGTCTGCATTTTATTAAAATGCATATTGCTGAGGGAGTCAAAAGCGTATACAGTAATAATGTTGTCAACGGAAGAACCGTTCTTTTGAAACAGCGTTTGTTTTTTCCGGACCCGAAGGTTAAACATTGCCAAACGTCCATCCTGTCTACGGGAATGAAGTGTTCGGACAAGATTCGGCCAATTTAGTCTTTTCGAATGGCGCACTTAATTGCATAAGTAAAATAACGTTTCTTAAATTTTTCTTTAGTTAAATTCTCACTTGTTCACTCACACACTCTCTCATACATAACCATATATATAAGCAATGATTAAGTACAGTATTTCTTGATTTTTTTTTTTTAAATTTCTTGGAAAGTAACGTTGTCAGCATTTTAAACCGTTGGCGATTTTCTCTAAGGAAGATCATACATGTAAACATCTTTTACTTTTGAAACAGAAAGACATCAGCGATAATATTATAGTAAGACTTCATTTTTTTTTTAATTCTGATAAAATATTTTCTAAAAAATAAAACTTTCCTACCATTTCTAAGGTATATGCTTATGCATACGGTTTTCTGTAGTGAAAGTAACTGAGGTAGCGATTACGAAAAATTACCTTGAATCTTTTTACTAGTGCGGCTCACCTTGTGATGAGGCATGGATCATTCGGCCCACTGCTCGAAAAAGGTTGACCATGCCTGATCTAAACTTTCATATATTACCGAACTCTGTTTCTGCTTGTTTTTCTATCTATCCCAACATGTCTACTCATGTCTGCTTCCGCCTGTTAACCTAGCTAGTCCTTCTTAAGAATTTATTTATTTATTTACGAATTATTTTAAGAAAATAGCGTTTCTTAAAATTTTCTTTTGTTACATTCTCACTTGTTCACTCACATATTCTCTCATAAATAATCACATACATAATTAACGATTAAGGACAATGTTTCTTGATTTATTTAAAAATTTGTGGAAACTAAAGTTGTCAGCATTTAAACCATTAGCGATTTTCGCTAAGGAAGATCATACGTGTAAACATCTTTTACTTTTGAAACAGAAAACATCCATAATATTTTTTCTCTAAAGATATGTTTTTTTTTTTATTTTCAAATGAATAAAGGAGAAATAAATCATACGAACCGACATACGTTAATCACAGTCATCGGCGATAATATTATAATAGGACTTCAATTTTTTTAATTATAATAAAATATAATATATTTTCTAAAAAATAAAACTCTCTCATTCTTTCTAAGGTATATGCTTACATATATGGTTTTCTGTACTGAACATAACTTAGGTAGCTAGTACGAAAAATTACCTTCTCGGTTTAGTAGCGCGGACTACCCTGTGATAAGGCATGGATCATTCGTCCTACTGCTCGAAAAAGGTTGCCCATGCCTGATCTAAGCCTTCAGATATTACCGACCTCTGTTTTTGCTTGTTTTTCTATCTATCCCAACATGTCTACCCATGTCTGCTTCCGCCTGTTAATCTAGCTAGTCCTTCTTGTCTGTTAATTCCTGTTTATCTATCTAACAATCCATAAATACATATGTCTGTTCCTGTCTATATCTATCTCTTCAAATCTACTAATGTCTGCTCCTATCTGTTTATCTAACTCAGTGTTTCTCAACTTGTATTCCCCGGAACGCCATGTTTCCGCAAGAGGTCGCTATATATTCCGAGAGAAACAGTGATGAACAAGCTAATGAACGTTTTACTAATTTTTGTTTAATTTTATATTCGTAATTTTAATATACACGTACGGCATATTGTTGGAATACTCTTGGTTTTTATAATAAGGGCTTCAACCTTTTATATTAGCTAAAATTATAATAATCATAGGGAATGTATTTAGCGACGTTTATATGGCGTCAGTGTGAAACCGCCTTCACTGGCTAGTAGACAAAACTTGTACTTGGTGGATTCGTGTATCATCGAGTGACTCACTCGAGTACAAGACACATGCACGGTTTCTATATATTATGAATACCACGTGAACTACGATGAATATATAAAAGAGATAGATATTGATAATGGTATATAATAATTTTTAAGCAGGGGTTCTCTGAGATATGTAAACTATATCAAGGGTTCCACAATGGTAAAAAGGTTGAGAAACGCTGATCTAACATTCCGTTCGTTTCTATCGGTCTGTTTCCGCCTATTTACCTTTCTAGCCCTTCATATCTACTAGTGTTTTCTCGTACGCGTTTAATATTATCACGGCATATATATATATATATATATATATATATATAATTATGAATCATTCATACAAGAAAACAAATGAATGATTCATGTAATTATAAATTGAACTGCACCTATAATATATATATATATATATATATATATATATATATATATATATATATATATATATATATATATATATATATATATATATATATATATATATATATATCGTCATTTACGCTGACGTGCATTTACTTAAATACTTGTATCTATAAAAAAAAAAAAGAACGTTAAACATAAAAATGTCTTTAATAAATAAATTGTCGGACTTTGTCCATTTCTTAATATATGACGTCATTTGTTTACATTTGATACGCCAGAGCAGTTATTAATGTACGAGATTCATGGAAGATTGAAGTTTATAAGCAGTAAATTCGACATATATATATATATATATATATATATATATATATATATATATATATATATATATATATATATATATATTATTAAAAAGGAGAGAGAAACCGCAAACACACGAAAATGGAAATAGATCTAAGAACACACAAAGGTCATTAAAAGATAAGAATGCCGATAACTTCTTCATCATTCCTCGGACCAATCCTAGTTGTTTTATAACCCTTCACGCAGAGATTTTCACTGCCCGTACAAGAAAGACATTTGGGTCACTAATACACTAAAAAGAGAATGTCTAGTTTCGAGAATATTTAACATTGAAAAACATATGAAAAAATTATTTTTAATAATATGTGGAAATCCCTACGCTTTGCCTGATGAAGGTCGCGAGACCGGAAACCCGTGTAGCAAAATTATGGAAATTAAAGCATAATATTTTTTCTAATATAACCTCTTCCCTTCATATATATATATATATATATATATATATGTGTGTGTGTGTGTGTGTGTGTGTGTGTGTGTGTGTGTGTGTGTGTGTGTGTGTGAAGGTAGTAATGGTACAGCGTTAGTATTTCAAGAAATGAATATGTATTAGACTTTTTTAAAATAATTCTTGTCCCTCTTCTTAGATTATATTATTTATATACTTTTTTAATATTTGTTTTTAAAAAATAGTTTTATTTTTTTAAGGGCTCAAAAGAAAACATTCGACGGTATGCATTGTCACATTTTGGATTTCAATACAAAAAGAATATCCCATATTCATATTTGTATGTGTACTTTTTAAATCTATCGTTTTATTTTATAACATGTATACGCTTTTAAAATTTTCCTAAGTGTGACTTTTCATTTGCATCGAGGTGTGTCGTTGCTTATAAAATAAATGTTGAGAAACACTGATCGAGCCCTTCATATCTACCGATCTGCACCTGTTTGTTTATCTATCTGGCCTTCCATACCTATCTCAGTTCATTTTGTGGAAGAGACTCCCAAGAGGTTGCTTTCCCGATCACTACAAACTTAACCTCTTAAAGTCTAAGGTTAACGATTATCTTTCCGACGTAACCTCATAATCAGCCTTTTTTACCTCCTCTGCTAATACTTATACAACAACCTCATTCAATAATCCACTACTTTGAGTGTCTCTTGCACTTCTAACTAGGTGAATAGGTAGTACAAATAAAGTCTGCTTGTGCGACGTCTGTCCGGTTCGAATAAAACGAGACGTCTAATATTAACAGAAAAAATAACTTTTGTGCAATAGCGTCTTAGTCCACTACAACATAGTTTGTTATGGTCTGCCGGCTGGGGCGTCAGAATAAGCTGACTACACTTATAAGACTCCCAACCATGCATAATGTGGTCTCCTGGGTATGATGATAAACAACATCCGGCAGCAAGACCTCTAATCGGGAGGTTTTGAGGAGCGTAGAACCACCTCTTAATTGCTGGTGTTCCCAGGTTTACCCTGACCCGGGGTGGTAGCACCTCTTAGGGTCCCAGTTATGGGAAAATAGTTAACCCCCAAACTGGACTTAAAGCACTATCAAAGTGTAAAAATAGGTTTTACTACCAACAATATATTTTTGGAAAATTTATTACCAGTAATACATTTCTGAATTGTGGCACCATGCATCCTGACGATTTGAAAGAAATATTCATAGATATATGATTTGTTTTTTACGGTTTATCAATCATTTAATAATTATTTAGGGCCGAAAAATATTTTGGGTTTTAAGAATAATTCTTTCTTTTACATTCAAGCGATCTGGAAGAAGGAAAAGAAAACGAAGAAGAAAGAAAAAAAAAAATAATACGAAAACAGGTCATAGGCGAGCACACACACGAACGGCTGACAGATAACAGGTGTCGAAAAATATCGGGTCAAGCATCTAACCGATTTCCGCGGAATCCACGAAAAATGGAAGTTTTATCAATTGGTTGTCACCCAAGAGGAAAAGAAGAAACGAAGTTTAGGGACAATGAAAATATTGATAAGTAACAAGTGGAAAGTGTGTCATTGGAGTGATAGTAAAGGTCTAAGTGGGTGGGGAAGTGTATCTAAGGATATGAAGGCAAACCATTAATACGAAAACCCAGACAGTCTCCAGAATTGAAAAAAGCCACACAAGATGATGTCGCTGAAAATTTTGTTTTGAGATAATAAAGATTTTTATTATCGGACCTTCGGGCGGAGGAAAATGAAATATTTTTATTTCGTTCAAAAACCCCAACAGGTCTGAGAAATCCCTTTCTTAGGTCATATCCAATTAGCGATAAACTGCTTGACAAATACCACGTGTTAAAAATCCGAAGGTGTCATCGCAGTCGCTCATGATAAGGGCGATTTAAATTAATATTTTTGTTTTTTAAGCAAGGTGTTTCTTTCCCAAAACAAAGCCACGGATTGTCCACGCCCGACTAAAGACGTCATTGGCTAAATAAGATCACATGACACACGAAGGAGGAGGAAAGATACCCGACCAGGACCTCATTGGCCGAGAGCGGTCACGTGACGCACGAGGATAATCGGTCGACGCCCCTGTCAGAAGTGTAAGTGTAAGGAGCCGATACGAAGAAGCGGGGAAGCGGGTATACGCCCCTCAGAGGCACAGTAAAGAAGTGGGAGTGAGAGTGAGTTACCGAAAATGGAAAATCCCTAACCAGAAAATAAGAAGGGTGGATACGTATTTAGAATTATCGAAGAAACCCCTGGCGCCGACAGACCCACCCCAGTTTTGACTGCGTCAATAAAAGCGAAACCCCAACCGACAGAAATCAGTTTGAGCCGCGGACGGCGGGCCAGGTTCGTTCGCCCCTTTGGCCTAAGTGAAGAAGTTCGTCCGACCCAAGCCGAAGTGAAGAAGTTCGTCCGACCCAAGCCGAAGTGAAGAAGTTCGTTCGACCCAAGCCGAAGTGAAGAAGTTAGTTCGCGCACCGACGGCGGAGATGAGTGACCAGTAATTCAGATATACGTTGGACCTTGTGAGTTTTTATTTTATTTTCTTTTATACATAATTGTGTGTTATCACCCCCGTTAGACTCAATTCGCATTACGGCCCCAACCCCTGTTGGATCTCGTCTGTCTAAGATCAATTCACAACGTGGGTAGGCAGACTGGAAATCAGTGCAGTTACCCTGGTAACCAGGCGTTGGAAGCGGGTTGGGAACGGCGAGGCTGGTATCAATCTAACCAAAGGGTTAGAACGTCACGTTTGGAGCAGCGAGGAGCGAACAGCTGACGCCGCGGCAAAGACGTCACAGTTGGTGCTGTCCGTGACCAGGATATCAGAGCCTGGGGAGCACGTGACGTCACAGAATAAAAAAAATACGAGCAATACATTTTTGAATATAAAAAATTACCACGAATAAAAATTTTCTCATCTTTGATGCCATATTTATCACAACGTTTCGGCCGTTGTACGCTCCGGCCTTCTTCAGGTGATTGGAATGTCGAACTGAACCCTTTATTTCGCTCGCTGGGGTAGACTGTTCTAGTTCCACGTGCCATCCCTAATGGATTTCAGTTATCTCCTGTTAATTCACCTCTCCAAGTTCTCCACAGCCTTAACCAGGTACTGAACTCTTTGGCTCCTGCCACTTGATCTAACCAACGCCTTTATCCACTGTACCATGTGTCCTTGAGGACATCTGTGTATGAATATCTGGGACTTATAAACTTAATGTCTTCAGCATCAGTTTTTACTTGTGCTCATATTGCAATTTTTGCTGTTATCATTGTTTTTTTGTTTTTTTGTTTTTTGGGGTTTTTTTTGTTTTTTGTTTTTTTTACCAGAGCTCATATTGCAATTTTTGTTGTTATTATCGCTTTTCTCTGGCACTTCTTATTACTGTTTCCCATATTGTATTCATTTCTATGCTTGGTTGGCTCGGGAGATTTTTGTGTCCTAGCATATGTGCTGATTCCTTAAG